TTTTCATTCATTTGTGCATCCTTATGCTGATGTTAACCTTAGTGAAAGGTATGTTTAATGTTTAAAGAAAAATGACAATTAAAACGAATCTAAAGCAGTAGGTTTTATTTTATCTATTAATTCATTTAACATTCATTTTTTTTATTTACTGGTTTATTTATTGATTTATTTATTGATTTATTTATTGATTTATTAATTAATGTATTTATTTATAATGTTATTGAAAGTATTTTGTTTTGTCTTTTTTAATAATAAGTAACATCTCTAAACTTTCTTTTCAAATTTAAGACACGTTATTTAGATAAAGGTACAAAAATATTTTGTCTTTAAAAACTGAACTTAACCACATTTCTCACATTCAGAGGCGTTCTTTGCCCAAAGATGGCCTTGTGTACATTTTGCGAGCGTTCGCTCTAGAGTTGCGGAGTAAGGAGTTGATCCTTACGTCGCGGGTTCGAATCCCACTGTGGGACTTGGAGACCGGTCTTACGGATGAGACCGTATAAACCGAGGTCCCGTGTCGCAGTCGAAAAAGATCCCTCACTGCTCAATGGCCCTCAGTGCCGAGTATATGTCAAAATTTGCAGCTCTCCACCGGCAAGTGGTGGCGTCTCCATATGAGCGAAAAATTCTCGAGAGGGACGTTAAACAATAAACAAACAAACAAACATTTTCTGTCTAAAGTAAAAAAAAAAAATCACAACTGACAAACAATTCATTGTTTAGAATATGCTGATAAAGCATTCTTCAATTATACGTACAATCTTTTTTTTTTTTTTTTTTTTTTTTTTTTTTTTTTTTTTTTGTAGAAAAACAAATTTGACTGCCTTGTCTGGCTGCATTGCACTTTTTTGAGTGCTCAGAATTATCAGGTTACCCTGAATCCCAAACCCTTTAACCAAAAGATTGTAAAAATTTGTTAAAAGTCTGTTAATGACAGAAATGAATAAGATGGCATTTTGTTAATGTTTTACCACATGCTTATTGTCAAGAACACTTTGGTTAATTTAGATGTGCTCCAAAATAAAATGAGTTCATGAATTTTCATGTATAGCGACTCAAAACAAAAATAATCCTGTTTAATTAAGTAGGCTAAATGTTTATCATGATTACTTTCAGAGAACGTTCTTAAAAAGACGTTTGCTATCTTTACAATCACATATTTTTGTAAGGGTCAAATTTTTAATTGGTTAGTGGGGATTGAGATTCCTTAGGTCGAGGGTTCGACTAAGGGTTGGGGTGGATGTGGGTATACTTATGATGTGGATTTCTCTTTGCTTTCTATATTAACATAATATTTCTTCATTTAGTGCAGTTATGTTTTATATATATATATATATATATATATATATATATATATATATATATATATATATATATATATATATATATATATATATATATATATATATATATATATATATATATATATATAAATATATACGACATTTCATAGAGGGCATGAATTCGTAGGGTTTTTTTCATGAAAACAAAATCATAGAGGGCATGAATTCGTAGGGTGGTTTTTTTTTTCAGGGTTAGGGTTAAGAAAAAAAGAAGAAAAACATGAACATCCATGTTTAAGATGAAAATATATTTTTTTTTCTCTTTTTTTTTCGAAGACGTGATTTTAATCAATATTATATCCTACAATACCATGAGGTTTATGAACTTATATTTTAGATTGCTAACAAGCACCGAAGTAGAGAAAATGGTCGTTTTTCACGTACTATGTATTTTTTCTTTTTTTCTTTTTCTCTCTCGTTGTTTCCTCTCTCTTTGTAAAAAAAATATCAGTAAAAATATAAATGTTTCGGTTATGAAAGCATGGAGCGATAACCCATTGTACATTGAAAATGTTAGTCATGTAATATTTGTATAAAGAATTGCATGATTTAGCGGTTAAAGTCTCCGTATCACTGACGAAATTTGAGAGCAAGATATCGTTTTGGTTCAATCTCCCCTTAAAAAGTATTTGTTATTTACATCCTCCCTGATTAGTATTTTTCATAGAAAATACGTTTGGCAATCTTCATAACTTATCAATTTAAAAAAAAACATCTGAATCAAGCACTAAGTTCAAAAACTGAATTTTATTTTATACAAGTTGTAGGTATTCCCTACGCCTTGAAAGCTGCAAACTAAAATTTCTGCATTTTTTCCATGCATTTTCCGACCGAATTTGTTTGAAAAAATGCACTAATTAACCTGATAAAGGGTTTATTTATGTATATTACAATTTTTGCTTTGCGAAAATATTCCAAGAGTTCTCGGACAGTGTCAATTTTTTTTATGCTATATGCAAGAAATATGAGATAAATACATTACCATATATAAAAATATCCATTTGTTGATGTGTAAAGTTTCAGTCCATATATTTAAATAGAACTCATGTTTCTCTATAAAATTAACATGATTTGTTACCACGGATCGCGCATTACAGCATTGAAAAGTCAAAAACATTATGTAGTGCGTGTAATAAGTTTCTCAAAAATACTCTCCCTATGTATGAAATATGGAGATAACGAACGGTATTCAAGCTCAAAGTCTATTAAAACAATACAAATCGGGGACAGAGCAAACACGGACCTCCATAAACATCAGAGGTGGGATCACATTTTAAACACAGTCAGGTGTGCCTAGACACCTGGTTCATCTCTGGTGATCATAGACACTTAACAATCACTTTTTCCACTACTGGGCTTTAGTTTGCTAACAATTGTAGAATAAGTTCTTTTCTCAGTATTTTCATTTTGTTTTCAAAACTTTCAAAAGTCGCTACCTCTCAAAAACCACCTAGGCAATTTATTCACAAATGCATGGCTCATTTTTGACATATTTTCCACTTCCACCAGTATTTTCAGGGTTTATTCTTAAGTTTGTTTGTTTTTTAATGCAACACAAAATTGTTTTGCTAGTGGCTTCTCCGGTTTTTTAATGACATCGTCCTTTTTTGTTCTTATTATTTTTTTTATCTTAATTTCTTTTAAATTTTAATTTTTTAAAAATATTTTTTCATATTATTTCATTTTGTTTTATCATATCTGCCTTTTTAAATGAGGACTACGTATCTTCCAAATTTCCTGATTTCTTTTCAAAGAACCAAAATGTTATGTCACCATTTAGCATATTAAATAATGCAACATTCAAACTACGAATATCTAGATTTTTATTTTCGTTTTGGGGTCATTTTACGGAGATATGACTACAGATATTATCAAGTTTATTGTTTGTGAATTTTGATTTACCCCGTAATCCAATTTTTGCAGTTTTTATTTTGAATAAGTCGAAAATTTATCAATGATCTATGTAAAATTTTTAATGCAAGAGCCATTTGAATTTTTCTTAAATAATACAACATGTCTACTAAATTTATATATAATATGATGTTAAATTTAAAAAAAAATATGACAGATGTCCGCAAACTTTTCGAGCAACCCTCGTATACGAGGGGTTATCAAATAGAGCCAGGCGGCGCAACCTCGAACATAATATTTTTACCTGAGTGTAACTTAGAAAAACTCTTTTGATATGAGCATTTGTCATCCAAAAATCCTGTAAATTCAGGCATGTGGTATGACACAATTGTTCCGTAAAATTTACAATTTTTACCTCATTCTGTAAGTTCTATTGAAATTTTATCGAAAATTATGAAGATAACGAACAGTAATCGATCTAAAAAAATCTGCAAATAATACAAATTTGTGATCAGGGCATAAAACACAAACCCCCCGGAAATTCCAGATCTGGAATCAGGTGCCTAGAAAACATGATTCCAGGCTGAATTTATCTTAACCGATACTCCTGTGGTGCTAAAATGGTAATCATTACTGAAAGAGGGATATCAATAAGTAATACAAAAAAGGCAAAAACACGGGGGGAAAATGTTGCTATTAAAGAATCTGAAATTCTTAAAATCAGGTTTTGTCTACTTGGAATGACGCTTTATAAAAGAAATCTTATTTGACTAGGTAAGAATAAGATTCAGAAGAACTCTTAGATACTCTATATGATATAACTCTTGATAGTTTATAAATCTCTTCTAGAAAATTCATAATTAAAGTCGACGGTACGAAAATTTTTAAGCCAGTGCAATTAAATTACCAGATATACAAAATTGAGATCAAAATGATAACTAAATACCTTACTTATCATTATCATTTATTTATTACCGACAAGATAATATATAATTACAGGTTATGTGGATTTTGTTAGGTACCCTGTAAACAGATTTTTTAAAACGAAGTTATCATCTTTCATTGTTTTCTGTGGTCAACATTCTTTAAAGACACAATGTCGATAGCTTTTAAAGTGCAAACATACATAGTCACTGTTTATCGTGTATACAACATTTATAGTTCCGATCCCCTACTCTCGACAAAGGTGGTCATTATTTCATATTTTGAAGCGAATAATTTGACTTCTTTAAATATTTGATTAATGTCCATCAATTCAAACTTTAGAAACATATTACAAAAGAAGCCTTTGCTCAACAAAAAGTAATTTTGAAAGCTGGGTATTTGTTGACTTCAGTTGTCCTTGAAAGGATGTCACGTATAACCATTCTTACCAGAACTACCACTAGATATATTTCTCCTATATATTTATTTATTTTTTTATATAAATTTTATCTAGCTAACGCTAACTACTGTATAATTACACTGGTATACAGCTGTATAGAATTCAGTTAGCTAAATTTTAAAGCTATACACATTATTATTTGCGTCATTTAAAAATAAAGTTGGAAATTTATTTATTTTTGTTTACCAAAGAAAGTTACCAAAATGCTGTAAATTACACAAATGAAATCGAACGCTTTATAAAGATGTCCAATTATAATTATTTATTTTCCTACTAGGCAAGTAATGTCTTTGTTTGAATTAATCACTTGACAATGTCGCTACTTTAAGATTGATAAAAAAATAAAATGTATGGCGATAACGAACAGTATTCAAGCCAAAACGTCTATTAAACAATACAAATTTTGGAGCAGAGCAAACATGGCGTCTAGAAAACGAGGTAGGCTGTTTTTTATACAATTAACTTTGACATGAATGGCAAAAATCTTAATCTTTGATAGCTATCTTGTAAACAACCGGTATTAACTATCTACTCTGTATTTTTATGATAGTTATCTTGTAAAGCAACTGGTATTAACCATCTACTCTGTATTGACAATATTTAACCTTTTTACATAATTATACTCATAATGCAGACATGCATGTTCGATTGCTTACGCACTTCCTTCATCAATATTCATGAAAAGGTGCAGAACTTGCTTAATGGCTTTGTTATAACAACGATTCAATTAGAAAAATTTCATGGAAAGTATTTTTTTTCATTTAACAGCATGTTTCTCAAATCATTTAATCATTTTATTTCACATAAAAATCGGTATTTGTATAGCGCGTATTGCTTTAACGTCTGATTTGATAGAGTGCAAAATGTATATACCCTCCAAATCAAAAACAATTTTACAAAAGAAGTTGAAAAATCCCCCCGCCCTACGTAAAAGAATTATTTTGCAAGATCCTAGCTAAATTCGAACTAATTTTTTTTTACTTATTTATGGATTTCCTTTGTATTGAATATTTTAATGTATTTTCCATTTTAACATTGTTTTCATAGGGCAGCTGTGTGATAACAACGATAGGGACGGGGAAAACAACCCGGATGACAAAGACGACGAAGTGGACAACACAGCGGGTAGGTCTAAGTAAAATGATAGTGTACATCAGAGAGGACACCACAGCTGGTATGTCACCTCCTTAAAAAACAGAGCCAACACGGACCTCCAAAAACATCAGAAGTTGGATCAGGTGCCATTGAGGAGACTGCATCACCTGCGGACCCGTCACACCCACCGTGTGCTCATTATTAGGCAATTTTTTCTTACTGAATTTTCTACGAATTACTCAAATTACCCGATGAAAACAAAAGGCTTACATTGGGTGTGATCGGTTAACAGGGAACTTACTCCTCTATGGCTCCTGGTCCCACCTTTTATATGTTTTAATGTGTCCTTGTTTGCTCTGCTCTCCATTTCTAAATAAATGTTTAATATTCCTTAAACATCATTACCGTTTCTGTCTTCATGGTTTATATTTGTAGGTCTTGGGTTATTGTTGGACGCTTCTGATAATGAGTATATGATTAAATGTTGTGGTTTTGTCGATGCCTGGGAGTTTTATGCCAAGTCAAACACAGGGGTGGTGGATCTACAAGTGTGGCGCCCAATAGGAGGCGGAATTTACACATTAGTTGGCCAAAACTCCTACACAGTCACAAGTTTGTTGAAGTTGTCCTTAAACTAAATACATGTATTTGTCATCTGATAGTTCAATCAAGCAGTTTCTGAGTGTTAAGACTTTTTAATTCAAAGATTTTATGAAAATCTAGATAGATGGCATCATCATATTTAAGAGTACATTGTTTTCAGACACGGACAGGGAGATAAGATATTCTATTCCAGTCTCGGAGCGCATACCTGTGAAAAGCGGAGACTACATAGGATTGTAAGTATTTACACAACCCTTAACTCAAGTTTCAAATTAAGTCTGAATTCAATTCTTAGCTCGAGTTTCAAATTAAGTCTCAATTCAACTCTCAGCTCAAGTCTGGACTATTTATTTACTATCGGTATAGCAGAGAAGAAACTAGCAAACATCGCTTTTGTTGCTCTTTGAGATCTTTTATCGATAAATAAAGTGAAGACCAAGTGTCAGTGTGCCCTTTGTCTTTAGCTACACAGCTGGAAATCCTATAGTAGCCTACAAAAGAGAGGGCGGTTGGTGGAATTCGAATGGTTGGACGTCGTCAGATTCTATTGGATCTTCTGTGGTAGGAGACACTTATGACTGGGGGTCCGCCACCTCTTTTCATGAGTCACGGGAATACGCCATCAATGTCCAGTTGGATCCAGGCAGGATTTTATCATTATCTTATTAGGATTAATAGTTCGATTAATAGTTCGGCAAAGTACATTAAAGTACTTAAAAACAGAAGACTTAAAAAAAATCTCTAACATCAATGTAGACACCCAACCAACCTAGAACATTTTTTTTTACTTTAGTATTAAGCGGTCCCTAATTGACACTGCAGATGTGGGTCCGTTACTTAATTTTATAACCTAATAATAATCTATTTTCTTGCCAGTTAAGCTGCTAAATGCTGAAAAGACATTTGGCAAGTTCTATGCTCGATACAATGATTTTATTTCATTGTTTTTGATAGAATTATTCAAATAAGGGCCAATAGAATAAGATAGAAGAAAAACATTTGTTCAGAGCTTGGTTGAAAGTTGTGAAATTTGCCGGGGAATACAAGTATAGGCTCTTGAATAAATGAATAAATAAGTGCAAACATACTAATAATAATTGCTTAATTTTTTTGTTCTTTCTAGGAAACAGGCCAAGTCTTTCAAATTTGGACAACTCGTTGTCTTTTTTAGATGATACAGCAGTAAACACTCTCATCTATACTATAACTGCTACCGATAGTGACACATCTGACGTCATTACAACTGAAATGACTACGTTATCATCTTATTTTACTTTTGACCAATCAACGGGTAACATCTTTAAAAAAAAATTAAAATTTTCAATGATTCTTAGTACTTCTGTTGTCTAATGAATGTTATTATAAATTATTACAATGTAACTTAAATATTACTAATAAGTCTCTGATTTATTTCATTTTGAAGATAAAAATCCATGATTTGATAAATGTTATCTTATAAACTTGGTTGTTATTACGTCGTAATCTACAAAATCAAAATTGATTGAGTAGATCTTTGTAGGAGAAGTTAGGAACACGGGGATTCTTCCCAGTGGAACCACGTCTTTAACGTTTCGGGTGACAGACACGTGTGGGCGAACAGACACAAAAACGTTGACAATTGTCGTCACCAATATCGTGAGTACCATATATTAGGGTATCAAATACCTTTGTTATTAATTTGTTTTTAGATAATTTAAAGATACTTTTATTCATAACATTTTCCCTCTTTCTTAACTAGATAATGAAAAATCAATTCTATATATTCAATTTCTATTCATAACTATATTTCAGCCCCCTGTCATTCATAACCTGCCAGCATCATGTGACCTGTCGGAGGACCACGCCTCGGAACAACTACTTTACACGATAAACGCCACTGACTCCTCCTCCCTAGACAAGGTTACGTGTAGTGTCAACGGCATCAGTCCAACCACAGACAACTTTTTCGCCAGATTAGTAACTGGATCAACTAGTAATAGCTCTATTCCTTTGTTGTATCATTATTGTATGGCAAATTAAATGTTCTAACTCAGCAACACATATATGAATTTCATTTCATTATACATGTATATTCATTTGCTGAGTTTTTCTACTTAATCAACTTTGAAATTGATTTGAATGCATTTTCGTGTATACTCTAGCGTTTTTATTTACATGGAGAAACTGGTGTTAAAGCGACGTCACACATGAGGCTACAGACACGTTGATAAAAAAAATAACGATAGAGGGCAGCGAAAATTGAAACACATAATATGTTTGTTTCGTTTTTTTAAACTAAAATGTTTAAAAGCGCTAGCGTACTTCATGGAATGTGCCTACGTGACAAATTACTTTAAAGAATTCTTTAAATATTCACGTATAAGATCTGTTTTAAATTTGGATGATGAAAAAGTATAAAGATTTTCTTTATTCAAATGACTTTTTTATTTGATGAGTACTCAGTGGGAGGGGGAAAGACCTATTTTAAGAAAAAAGAATGTTCTCTCAGAATAAGCCATCATTTTAATTGTGTTAAATTTTTTTCAGTGCAAAAATCTAAATAAAAATTGAGCTCTAAATGGAATCTGTTATAGTTAGGAGAAAAGGCAAGCACAAACTAAATACAGTTTGATCAATAATTTTAACAGATGTACTCTTTGCATAGAGCTACAATCCGAATTTACTCTGACTTCACTGAATTCCAAATATGAAGAAATGTCAATGCGTATAAGTACAAACCAAATAGGAATAGCTCCTTTTAACCTTCAACAATTAAAGTAAAAATTGACATCTGAGGATATACTAAATATGCATAGCTTTAATCTCTCAGCAGAATGGCATATTTCCAATTTTACATTCAAAATAAATCAATTTTTTTGCTTTACCTTTTCCAAAATACATGACATTCAATTACAAAGATAATAGGAGTAATATCAGTAACTGATTTCGAACGTATAGTTTTTGAAATTGCGTTACTAATACTTTTCTGTATTATATATTTTCCTGTAAAACTTTTCTGTTGAAGAATCCAATGATTGAGTTAAGTTCTGGCTTATTATTAGCCTTAAGAAGCTTTTGTATGAAAATGTGATGTTCTTCTTATTCTAATACATATTTAATCCATGAAAACAAGCTGTATTTCTTTAAATAATATTCTTTAACTTTAATTTGAACTTCACTTGTTTACAGCGTTATACGGAGTATACGTGAAAGCACAGCCCTCGTTGGATTATGACACCGCCCGGCAGTATGACGTCACAGTGAGGTGTACAGACGGAAAAGATCCCGTGACGGAAGTATTTACAATATATATCTCCCGAAACAACCCACCTGTTTTTGTCAACTTACAAGGTTTGAACACATTTATTACTTTGGTTATGGTCCTTTCTATTCACCTTTACAGTTGCTCAGGCGGCGCTAATATCACACACTACACGTAACCCGCAAAAGGTGATCCTTACGTCGCACGTTCGAGACCGGTCGTTTAAAATGTGGTCCCGCAGTATTCAAGCTCAAAGTCAATTTAAACAATACAAATCGGGAGCAGAACAAACACCGATCTCGAAAAACATCGATATCAGAGATGGGATTAGATACCTTGAAGGAGTAAGCATCCCCTGCCGATCGGTCACACCCGCCGCGTGCTCCTTGCTATGATCGGGAAAAAGGAAAAAAAATCATTGTGTAAATAATGGCCTAACAATTAGTATGAAAAGCGTCAGTCAGCATTTGACCACAAAACTTGCAAAATGATGATTTCAAACGAGACTGTTGATATCATTAACGTCTTTTCTAGTAAAATATCCAAATATGAAACAGATGTTTCAGACTCTGTGATATCTTTTATTTCAAGGGATAAATCGAGTCGGCATATGAATGGAAGAAACTATTGATAATACGTCATCGATATATCTTAATGTCGAGTTGAAGGCCACAGCAAGTGTTTTCTTCTTCTCATGTAGAAATTTTTTGATACATTCTACTTCATATGAATAAAAAAAATAGGTCCGGTAATTGTACTGTCTCGTGATTAGCACAGTCAGATAACCACGCATCTACACAGAATACTCCAAGTCCATATAAACTGATGAATTTATTGACTAATATGTAAGATGGCATGTGGTAAAGGACTACAAAGAAAACAAAAGGACTAATAAGAAAATGTTCACAATATAATATACTATTAGTGCACGACTTTACCAACTTTGATGATGACTGTTATGGCGTTCCATAGAAAAAATGTTTCAAACAGCAATGTATTTATCTTAAATTCTACTATTTGCATAAAATTATATTCTTATAAGTTACTTTACTTTACTTTACTGCTTGAATACTGTTCGTTATCTCCATATATTTCATTTTATCCAAGTGAAAGAAAGCAGTATAAATATTCAGTAATATTATGCTACTTATAACAAGTTGTTTATCCTAGATATAATAATGACAACAATGGCGTGCCGTACTTCGTGCACATGCGGTTACCGAAAATCATAATTTTCTATCATTTAAGTTCCAGACTGCAGCTAGGCATTACACATCAAATGAAGTACACATAAAAGAATAAATTTACAAATGTATTCAATTACTTACACAGTGATTTCCCTAATCTTCCAAAAAATTAACAGCTAAACAATGGGTCAGCCTCATCAGGCTCATGGCTTCTAGAACAACTTGTATTAACAACTCGTACCTTTAATAATTCGTACGAAGGACGGAACAGTAATACCGGGACCCAATTGCTAACCATGGGAATTCCAACAGATTATTGGAAGACCTGATCTCCAAAAACTACAAAGATATTGTCAATCAGAACTTCAAGCATCTTTTTAATATCAACTTCAGAGTACTTATGTGTACAATCAGAATGGTTTTTAACAAAATTTTGCAAATGACCAATGACAAGGTGAATATATTCACAAGTTCCATTTTATTGAAAAAACAGCTATCTTTGATGTCAAAAGCCTGGACTTTTTTAATCGTTGGGAATGGTTGTATAAAGTGTAGAAAACTCGCACGTTTTGATGTTATTGATTTTGTTAAAATTTTGTGATTTCAATTTTTCTAAAAGTTCTTTGGAGTTTTTAAGTCAACTTTTATGAAGAAATTTTCACATCTTGTGATTTGCCATCTTAAAAGTTGTCTTGTTAAAATTATTCTGATTTCAAGCACAAGTAATCTGAAATTGATGTTGAAAATATACTTGACTTTTTTTATTGACAATATGTAGTGTTTTGAAACTAGGTCTTCTAGCAAACTGTTAGAATTTCGAAGACACAAAGTGTTCCCTTTTATTAGCCACCCAATTTTTTTTTAATTCTTATGAAGCAGAATTTATTCAAAACATCTTCATACGAAGAAGAAAACTCTTGCTGTGGCCTTCAACTCCACATTAATTATATGGAGGATGTTTCATCAAAAAGCAGTAGTTAATTTCAATATAACATGTCCAATTAATGTATCCCAGTGAACCCGAAATAAAAGACACCAGAGTCTGCCAAATGTCTTTCGTATTTGGACGTTTCACTGGCTATAGATGTTAAATACTAACTGACAACTTAACTACGGGATGGCTTCAGGTTTTCCATCTTCAAGTTACGGGTCACGGTAGCCTTGTGGTAGGTGGTTCTCTTCGTGATCGGGAGGACTCGGGTTTGATTTTCTTTCGCCATTCCGCTTCAAATCTATGACGTTAATATAGATAGAGAGTGTTCCTTTGCTAAGTAACCTCCATTAGAAGTGAAAGTCATGGAACTTTCGGATGAGACACTAAAATTCGAAGTCCTATGTCAAGGTAGGCGTTGGCGCATTAATGAACCCTTACTGCTCAATGGCCCCGAGTGCTGAATATATGTCTAAAGTTGAAATCCTACACCGGTATAGGGGACCTCTCTATATGAGTGAAAAATTCTCTAATGGGATGTAAAACAACATACAATCAATTGATCAATCCTCTGTTTAAGTAGTAATATACCAATTTCATCTGTATTTAATGTTGATGTCTCTCAAATGGTTCGGTTTGGAAAAGCATGTTCTAAGTATGATTGATTTTTTAAACCAAGACAGGCTACTGACAAATAAGATGACGTTAAAAGGTTCTCGCCTTTTGCAAATTCTATTATCGATAGGTGAAAATCGCATAAATTCCTCAAACAATTCTAATTGTGAAGAGGGAAAAAAATCACAGACCCCTGGAAACACGAGAGGTGCCTAGAAGTTATCATTCCCTTCTTACGTGTCACGTCCACCGTGAGCCTTCTATAATGATCAGGTGAACGGAGCATAAAAACAAAGGCCTAACAATAGGAATGAAACACGTCAGTCAAAATAGGACCCAATGTTAGAAAGATTTTTGCAAACGAGGTCATGATAACCACAACAGAATTTGTGAAATGCTGACTTTAAACAAGATTAATAAAAGCCAGGTAACATCAACTTATCTCTCAGTAGCCTGTCTGTGCTTAAAAATTGATCGTACTCAGAGCACATTCTTTGCTTACAGAATCAGCTGGAAGATATTAACACCATATTTAGGTGATAGTGGAATAATATTACATTAATAAGGGAAGTTAAAATGACATTTTTTTTACAAATACAACCTATTGTTGGGTCGTATTTTGACCGCTATATTTCCGACAAATAATAAGGCCATTGTTTTATATTGATTTTAGGGGGGTTACTCTGCCTACTCGATTAATTTAGAGGGCTCGAGACGGATGTGACCGGTTGACAGAAGATCTATCTCCTCCTATACACCTGACCCCACCTCTGATATTTCCGGAGGTCCAACTTTTGTCCGTTCTACAATTCATATTGATGGGACTTTTTAACAATATACAGATATGTAAGCGTTGTCATGGGTATCGGTCTTACAATAACCTATTAAACACGATCTCTCTTTTGATTCACCACTGCGTGTAATTTAAGTACCAGTCCACATAAAAATCAGACAAAATTGTATGAAAGTGATACATGAAGGTTTTCAGAATTCGATGATTTTTCACTCACAAATTTCTCTTGCAATATGAACAACGTATGTAAAATGAAAACTGCTTTGAGTCATGGTTACCATGGAAACCCGGCCAAAGAAATTTCCTTAGCAACCGGCAATTTTTTCCATGTTGATGGACAAAATTCACCTATCTTTAAGGCTTAAAATAAAATTTTAATACCATGAAAATTATTCTCAATTACTGGTGTAATAAAGATACACATTTAAAGTGTTTTAATAATGCAATAAAAGAAATTTAGGTCTTAAGTTAGTTCTGTGCTAGCCATTGGAAGGCACACATGTTTTGCAATTTTTGCTGATTCAGCATTTTTCGTGATTTTGGCAATATTCAAGGCCAAATTTAAAAAAAGGCCAGATTAATACAGCTGTTGCGTGTATTTCACATAAAAGCAGATGAATTTCTCTTTCAGAATTTGAAGTCAAATCCACGGGCCTTTTTGAAAATTGAATTTGTTGCCTAGCAACAAATATGGGCATTTTGATACATAAAATGAGAAACAATGTAAAAAGTTTACGGAAAAATCAAATGAATTGTTATCTACAAAAATGAAAAACAAATTTTAAAATAGCAGAATTAAATTTGGACTTCCTAGCAAATTATTGAATATTGTATAATTATTTATCTCCATAGCAACAAAAGGTTCTCCATAGCAACGGGGCAAAGAAAGTCAATTTTGACATGTATTCATGTAATCTTATTAAAAATTTATTCAAATTAAGTAAGAAAAATGTCGTTGAGCAAAATTGACGATGAAATGTTGGTCTTATTAAAGTTTTTTTTGGTACTTAATCAACCCATAGCAACGATTCCCAGTACAGGACAACCAATGTGTACTATGCCTCCTGTAAAACAGATTTGACTTTGGGATCGTATTGTTTGTCATGGAATTGAATATTCAAGTAATGTGCTGATAATTGTATATGCTGAGAGTGTGGAAAGAATATAAAATGTTGTAGCAAATTATTGAATATCGTTCATTGACTTATTTCCATAGCAACAACAACACTTCCCCATAGCAACGAGGCAAAGAAACTTAATTTTGACACATATTCATGTAAACCTGTAAAATTTATCTAAATCAAGTCACAAAAATGTGTTTGAGAAAAATTGACATTGTCATGTTTGTTTTAGGAAAGTATTTTTGTACTCATTTAACCCATAGCAACGATTCCTAGCACATAGCCAACAATTTTGTCAGTATGTGATTCATTCTCTGTAACCGCTGTATTGAAAGATTTGGCATTCATCACAGATTTCGGGGATACATGTACGACTCTCAAATAATCACTACAGAAAGCATTACAATGTAACAATTATTCCTCATGAAAATAAATAGATAAA